AGAAAATTCAATCCACAAAAACCGATTTCCAAATTCTTTTGCATGTTCATCCCCAAGTTTGTCTGTACACACCTTTTTAATATATTAATTTGTTTTTATATGATCGTCATGTTCGAACAATATACTATTTGATTAGGGTGTTGCTATTTAGACTGCATTACTAACCACTTCTCTAATACAGATGGATCCCTCCCACAAACACTGGCTGAGCTCACCTCTCTAATAGAGGTAGTCAACAATGTAGTCAGTAAATATGATTCAAATACCATTATTGATTTGATAATGGCAACAATATTCTGATTTCCTCGTCTGTGATTCTTTTTGAGTTTTTCTAGTGATGTATAACTCAATGCGGATGAAAGCAAACGATGCTAATTAAATTGATTATATTATAGAATAGATGTCGATTGTTTGGATCTTTAGTTGATTGTAGTACAAGGCAAATATTGCTCATGTGTCCAGCGCCCAACCTTTTAGAATGGTGATGAGGTACAGGTATGATTTGAAGGTGCTCAAGCTTGAGCTTCTTGGCGGTATGGCTAGAATGAATGAAAAAGATAAATAAACGAAGAAACTACACGTACGGCATGGTGAACCCAAAAAAAGGGTCCATAAAGCAATATCAGTAGTAATTTCGTAAATCTTATTCTTGTTTTTAATAAGAAGCTTACATATGAAAGACTTAATTCGTCATTTATTTTCTGCAGCAAGATATCCGCGTTGAATTAGGGAACAATAACCGATCAATTAATTTATCTGGTTCATAGCATGAGTCCACGAAACCTTCCACATAGCGCTTATCTACAATCAAGCAAATAAAACAAAAATATAAAGAACATCAATAAAAATAAAGATAATTTTTTTTTAAAAACATGATAAAGTAAAACTGAGTATAGCCAGCCGGCGACACTATTTCTTTAAAAAGAAAAATAGAATAAACAAGTATAGCCGCCCGGCTATACTATTATATATATATATATATATTTTAAAAAAAACCCAGTAACGCCCAGCTTCTTGATAGGCATCCGTTTCTTAATTGTACAAGGACGGCTGATACTGGTGCTCGATATTGAATGGACGGCTATACTATTTCTTTTTTAAAAAAATTAAAAAATATGTATAGCCGTCCGGCTATACTATTTGTTTAATAAAAAAGAGCAGAGTAAAGCCGACCGGCTATACTATTTTTGAAAAAAATTCTAAAAAACCGAGTCTAGCCCAGACGGCTATACTATTTCTTTTAAAACAATTAAAAATAGTATAGCCGCGCGGCGATACTATTTCTTTTTAAAGAATTAAAAAACCAAGTATAGCCAATCGGCTATACTATTTTTAATTAAAAAAATATTATGAAAAAAGGACCCTCCTAATTGCATTAGTTTATACTTTATAGTTTGCAGAGAGACCTGAGCTGAGCTCTGTTCGCTTGAAGATTGGTATCTAATTTGTCTTGATATTGGTTTTCTTGACTGCTCTGAGGTGTAGTATTTGGCATCACTGTATCATTATGAATGCTATAAATGAAGAATCTCAAAAAATAATACAAGCACTGGTATTGCAGCTAAGAAAATATAAATTTAACAATTTTCCAGTGACCCGTATTTGGAATCTGTTTAAACTTTTGCAGAGGTTTAAAGTCTTTACATTTTTCAGGCTTTTCTTCCTGTGTTTGGTTGATAATTACGAGGCAAATTAGCTGTCATACATGGACCATTGATTTAGGACTTTAATATCAATCTTCGTCTGGGTTTCCATTCAGTTTGGTTGTATTTGGCATGATATTCCGGTGAGATCCTCATGTATCCTTCTTAGTGCTTTGTTTGAGTGAAGATGATTGATTTCTTGATGACTCAGGTCTTCTATGTTTCCTCATGTTCCTGAAATTCATCCCTTGTAATTGTTGAATAATTTCTCTCTTTTATTATGGCGTTGGTGAATTTTCTTTCTAATCGTAAGTTAAGGCTTGAATTTATGCTCCTCCTTTGAGTTTAGTTTGGCTGTTGCCAGAGTGGTCATGCAATATTTTTTCATTTTGTATAGTTTACTAGGTTTCGTGTTGGTTCTCTGAAACTCAGTCTTAGCTTTTCTCCTACAGAGTGATGAAGATATTGGTAGTACGTACATGGTTTCTTTGCTTTCTCTGGTTGTTGATTCTGCACTTATGCAATATGCATCATATTGGGGTTTGGCTTTTAAATTAGTTTCTTATGTAAGTGTTATTATATCTATTTTAAACAATGCCGAGTAAAGCCGGACGGCTATACTATTGTGTGAAAAAAATTTAAAATCGCTTATAGCCGCGCGGCTATCCTATTTCTTTTGGAAAATTAAAAACCGAGTATAGCCGCGCGGCTATACTGTTTATTAAGAAAAAATAAAATAAAAAGAGCCGAGTAAAGCCGAGGAATGCCCATGCTATTTCATCAAGGCTGGAGGCTCCAGATACCAAAAGCAAACTATTCAAGCAAGCTCCCACTGAGCACTGACAGCCTAAATACTTATAGAATAAAAACTAAAATGCCTTAAAGAAAAATGAAAGTTCGTTACAAACCAGTCCACCAGCAGCTAGATGATCAAGCATCCCTAGATATATATAATATAAGTGGGTTTCTGTTGCCTTCTGTTCGCTATCCATAGAAACTTCTTCCCATCCTTCTCAACATAGCCATTCATATGCACTCCATAAGCCTATACCAACCTGAAGTACACATAAAAAAATGTTAAAAATGAAAAGTTGCAAGAAAATCAAATGAACAACAATAAAAGAGTTAGCTGGCTTCCTTCCTACGTAACCATTGAAAAAGCGCACAGTGTCACCTCCAAAACCTCATCATCAAGCCCTTTCACAGAACCTCCGGGTCTTTTTTTGTTTTTTGGATTCAGGAGTACATAGGGAGAAACAATCACCTATGGTTTGCTACAAAGTGTTTGCACTGACTTTCTCTTCTCAGGTTCCAATCAAAACTCAAGAACCTATATCGCTAAGAGATGATCTCATTTTAAAGAAAATAAAAAAACTACTATGTTTCTATTGTATGTTTGTGTTCTCTCTTTCCATGTATAATTTCGTTCCTTCTTTTAAACTACATTCAGACTGAAGTTTCTAAAATAGATGCTTGAACTTTACACTTTGAACACATGAAACTTTTTGCCTGAAAATGACAGATCACTTTCATGAATCGGCTGATAATCCAAAATGAGCAAAACCCATTTCTAGAAAACACTTATAAAACCTCAAAAGACCACTGAAGGAACCAAAAAACAATTAAAAAATTAAAAAAAAATTCATTATAGCCGCTAATTATAATAGTATTTTATACATAGAGGGATGCATTCATCTGTTAAAGACATGTAGAGAAGCATTTTGAATTTGACATGGCACATAGGATTTTAGGACATGGCATGCTTTTGCTTATATTATGCTTCACTTTTCAAACAACACTTTACATAAAGAATACTACCTTATCTCTTACTACTATACTCACAAATCTTTGTTTGAAATTGAAACTTTTGTGGAAAAAAAAACAAGTGTAGTAGACATAAAACATACGTACATACATGTATAATGTATGGTACATTTTGCTTTTTTTAAAATGTGAATTTTCTAAACTACTCTTATCGATAAATGAAATTCAAGGAAATGCTTTTTTTAAACCCCGTGTAGCCACACGGCTATACTATTTATTAAAAAAAGTTTTAAAAATCCCACAGTATAGCCGACCGGCTATACTATTTATTTTTTTAAAAAAACTATTTAATTATAATAGTATTTTATACGTAGAGGCATGCATTCATCTCTTAAAGACATGTAGATAAACATTTTTTGTTTGATACGGCACATAAGATTTTAGGATATGACATGCTTTTGCTTATGCTTCACTTTTCAAACAACATTTTAATTACATGAAGAATACTACATTCTCTCTTACTACTATACCCATTAATCTTTGTTTGAAATTGAAAATTCTGCATAAATAAAAAAAACACTTGTATTAGACATGTAACATACCTATGTACATGTATTGTATGTTTGCTTTTTAAAAAACGTGTATTTTCTAAACTACTCTTATCGATAAATGAAATTCAAGGAAATTTTAAATAAATAAAAAAAATTAAACTAAAGAACCCAGTGTAGCCGCGCGGCTATACAATTTATTAAGAAAAGTTATATAAAAAACCCAAGTATAACTATTTATTTTTAAAAACTGAAGTATAGCCTCGCAGCGATGCTATGTAATTATATTATATTTAAAGAGTATAGCCGCCCGGCTATACTATTTATTAGGAAAAAAAAACTTATAAAAACACTGAGTATTGCCGCGTTGTCTGATTTTCAGGGTTGTCTCATAAGGTTGCTCACAAAATAATTCCTCCTTTTCAAGCAACCAAAAAAATGAATAAATAAATGGGGCAGGTTGGGAATGATTTATTATTATTATTATTGCAAAGATAAAATTCTGAACTGTTACTAAAAACGTCATAGCACAAGATTGGAGATTATTGCTGGTGCATACATCTTTGTCATACGCTAGGCTTCAAACTTTGACCAATTGCAAAAACAACATTATACCATGAAAGCAGAGCGGAAATTAACCAATAAGTAATCATGCGAGCTGCGAAAACAAAAAAAAAAAAAAAAAAAAAAAAAAAAAAAAAAAAAAGAAAGTAAATCAGATGATCATCTCATCAGTTCATTTAATTAGTCTTGTGGAACCAATGATACAATACAACAAACCCACTTCTGTATGCCATCTGTGATACATAACTAATTCACCTAGAACAAAATTCAAATGATTCCTACAAATAAGATAATCCAACAACTTCACCTCCTGATTTTGGAGTAGCCTCAACCACTCCATGTGCCCATTTCCTCTATATTAAGAGCAATACCTGTTACCCATCAGAGTACTTCAGCAAGAAATCTTCAGCATTCAATTGTACATCTTTAGAGACCGAATTTCAGGATGTTGAAGCATACATTTTCATCTGTTTTCATCATAATGCTGATTGCAAATATGCACAAGGCAACTGTACTTGTGTCTGCAGTTGATCCTGCACCAGTTGGCAATGAACCGGTTCTTGAAATATACATGCATGATATTCTTGGAGGCAGTAGCCCTACAGCTAGGCCAATCACTGGCTTGCTAGGCAACATCTACAGCAGCCAAGTGCCCTTTGCAAAGCCGATAGGGTTCCTTCCTCCAAATGGTGCGGTGGCTATCCCTAATGCCAATGGTGCCATTCCAACTGTAAATGGTGCCAATGGTCTACCACTAGGAACTGGCTTATCTGGTACAGCTTTTGCAGGAAATCCTAATGCTCAACAGAATGGCAATCCTGCTACCCAACTAGCACCGGATGGGTTGGGACTAGGCTTTGGGACAATCACTGTCATTGATGACATACTGACCTCTAGTCCCGACTTGGGGTCACAAACTATTGGAAAAGCTCAAGGAGTTTATGTGGCAAGCTCTGCAGATGGAACAAGACAGCTGATGGCATTTACGGCTATGATGGAAGGAGGGGAGTATAATGACAACCTCAACTTCTACGGAGTGTACAAGATTGGGAGTACCAAGTCACAGTTGTCAGTGACTGGCGGGACAGGCAAGTTTAAGAATGCCAATGGGATTGCAGAGCTGCAACCACTGATTCCTCCAGGTCAACATGCAACAGATGGTGCAGAAACATTGCTGAGGATTACTGTCCACTTAAAGTACTGAGACAAAGTGGTCTGTTTGTGTCGATGTCGATGTCAATGTGAGTGTCTGTGATTGTATTAGCTACATGTGTGGAGTATCTTTCAATTGCAACTGTTCTGCTTAAGTATGGTAATGCCTAATGAAGAATATCTTGTCAACTGATCTTCTCACCGCTAAAAGGGTAAGGAACAAGATCAAACAAAAACTCCAAATCACCATCATACTAAATGTCATAGTACACAATTACCATATCATGCAAGATGCATTACTGCAGATCACAGCCACCATATAAGTAAAAATTGCATGAGAACATCACATATCAAACCAAACCTTATTGTCCTCACGGATGGATGACCAGTAACTTACTATTCAAGAACGAAAACTATGGCAATGTAATCTTTGGACTACAATTTTCTCTCTAAAGCAAGAGACTCATAAGAGTATTCAATGTAAGGCAACACAAGGTGGGTGCTGCCTATTATTGTAGACTGTAGATGTCAAAATTTTAGTAATTGTAAAGAACATTAGAAGGGGAAAAAAAAAGAAGAAGAATGATTAGGGTAGTTGCAGAGAAAAATGATGTGGAAAAGAGAGATGAAAAGTATATGAAATATCAAGGCAGCAAGCTTTCAACAATAATTCCCTTCATTGAAACTGATCTGTATTCATCGAGCTTCTAACAGAACCCCAAAGAGTCATTATATAGTAGAAGATTCTTATAAACTTGAAAATTACACCGTTCTAAGACCTTGAACCATTGACTCAGAGACATCAACTCTTAAGTTGACTCTCTGATTTTCTTAGTTCTTTTTTAACTGATTTGTAGACAACTGTGAGCATTTCCTTTGGAACAAAATGGCCTCATAACCACCAACTTAGTCTTGGCCTTTCAAAGAGGATACCTCATCTAAAACCAAATTGTTGCTACCCTATGTAACCCATATAATTAATGTTGGAACGGCACAGCAGCTTACAACTGGAATGAATTACCAAAATTTTGCTTTTAAACTATCTTTGTATATTTGGAGACTGTTTCTTTATATTACAAAGGAAAAGTTTAAAATACAGGGGAAAAAAATCATAAGTGAAACAAAGTTCAGTTTACAAGGGAATGCTTCCAATTACTATTGTACTTGCCTGTAAATGACTCAGGAACTCTACTGCCAAGAACAAAGTATATGTTATTCGTCATTCATGTAATTGCTCAACATATGGCAAATCTACAAAGAAGAAAAACACAACAAAACAGGTCTAATGGTAAGTAACATACCACACATACAGCTCCTCATCGTTCACGACAAGCTGGTGATTTTAGCATGAGAAAGCACACACGCTTCATCGATCCCGTAGAGTGAATCTATCAAATGAATCCGCAATGACGCTGGACCATTTGCCATTTTCATTCCCATCTCACCAGCAATCCCAAATATCGATAACGCCGAAGCTGTAGCTTCCAATACATGTGATTGATCAACCGAAACAAAGGCAGCAATGAGGGCAGTGACTGAACACCCTGTTGCTGTTATCTTTGTCATCATGGCAACCCCATTGTGAGCACCAACAACTTTCTTCCCATCTGTAACAATATCAACAGCTCCAGAAACTGCCACTATGGCACCACTGGCTTGAGCCAGTGACTTTGCTGACTCTACTGCATCTGTTGACTCATGGGAACTGTCTACACCCTAAAAACAACAAAATTCAATTAAAGATGATTTATAACAACTTTAGTACGCACAAAAACAAAAACAAAAAATTTATCTTTGATATTCAATGAACTGAATCATCATCTATACTAATAACATGAAGCCAAAAACTTTGACTCAACAATTTAAAGACCTAATTTCCCCAAATATAAAAAAATTTCAACTTAACAAATTTCAACGGAGTTTTTTTGGTATCAGAAATCCGATTCAAAGCACAGGATAACTTGTTCTTCATAACACCTCATGAGAAAATTGATCAGACTAATTTTGTGATAAAGCAAGAAAATTTACCTTGGTGGGTTCCACAGAAGCCTTGGCGAGGGCGATAATCTCGGACCCATTTCCCCTGATAACAGTAGGCTTAAGCTCCACAAGCTCCAAGCAAGCCTTTAACCGGAAACTGGAGGCACCGGCGGCAACTGGGTCGAGAACCCAAGGCTTACCGGACTTATGTGCCAGTTCAGCGGCCAGCTTCATGGCCGGTAGCCAGCCGGCGGAAAGTGTGCCCACGTTGACGCAGAGCGCGTGGACCTGAGGCGTGAATTCCGGGAGTTCTTCTAAGGTGTGGAGCATGGCGGGTGATGCACCCGCGGACAAGAGAGTGTTCGCCATCAGATCCATCGACACGAAGTTTGTGATGCATTGGATGAGTGGTGATTGGGATCGAACTGTGGATAGTAGGGCCCATGCTTTCTGGGACCACATGGTTACCTCTGGTTCTTCTTCCTTGTAGTTGGACTCGCTTTGCATGCTCTCTCCGTCTTTAGCTTGCCTAGAGCTCTGTTCTGGTGAAGACTCGTTTTAGTAGCAGAAAGAAATCGACTTTATGTATATGTGTGTTATAAACTGCCGTTTTGCTCAATCATAATTGTCAATTTTTACTCTAAATAATTTTTTCCATAAATTAAAGGGTGTAATTAATTTAGATTTTAAATGATTTTAAAAGAATTAAGTTGATGGAGTTTAATTGAGTTTGACTGAATTATACAAATTCCACATAAATTTTGACTAAATTCATGTATAGATTTTAACTGAGTTTGTTAGAGTTTTATTACTGATTTTAATGGAGTTTATAGCACTCAAAAAACAAAGAATAGGGGTGATGACGATAGTGATGGTGGTGATGGTGATGGCAGTTTGTGGGTGATGGGGGAGATGGTAGTGGTGGTGGTAGCTATGGGGGTGATAGTGGTGGTTGCAGTGGGAGTGAGGTGATGGTAGTGATGGAGCTTGTGGATGTGCCTGTGGTGGCAACAATGGTGGTAGTGATGGTGATGGTGATGATGCTAGCGGTGGCAATGGTTATCGTGGGGGTGATAGTGGGGCTAATAGCGGCGGTGGTGGTGGGAATAAGGGTGGGGGTGGGGTTGGTGGCAATGGCAGTGATGGTGATGGCGGTGGTGGTGGTGTCAGTGGAGGTTATGCGGAGCTGGTAGTGAGGTGGCGATGGTGGTGGTGTCATGGTGGGGTACTGGTGGTGATAGCCATGATAAGATGGTATAGAAGTGGTGAAATCATATCTTGAGAAAAAAATATATATATCTTTCAAAATTTGGGGGGAAACAAAGATTTGTCATGGCCTAAAATTAGTCTATAATCAAACGAAATCTAGCACTTTTTGCATTTCCTTTAAAATTAATGAGTTTTTTATTATAGACTAATTTTAGGCCATGACAAATCTTTGCTTCCCAAAATCAAAGGACTTGGATCAAGGTCTTCATATATATATATATATATATATATATATATATATATACAGTTATGCTCTTATTCGGATGTCTGCACATTATTATTGTACGGATGTTATTATAAACAGGTATGAAAGCAGAGAATGGTAGTACAAAATACATGGCATCCGCACGATAATAACGTCTAGAGGTCCGCATAGGAGAATTTTTGATATACAATTATTCTCTTATCCAGATATCTGCACGTTATTATCGTGCAGATGCTATTGTAAACATGCAGGAAAGCATAGAGGGGTAGTACAAAATACTTGGCGTCTGCACAACGTCCAGATGTCCGTATAAGAGAATTTCTGTATATATATCTCTAAATTATAGGTAACATACTCCCTTAACAAAAAAAAGTGATTAATTGACTTGTGTTTTTTACATACATGAGATAAAGGTACCGATTTTTTTGCCTTTTTGTTTATGAATCTAAGTTACAGGTAACATACTCTTTACCACTTATTTTTTTTATGTACCGGAGACATAGGTAGCATATAATGTCCGACTTATGTTTTTATGCACCTAAGTTATAGGTAATTTAATATTCTGCTTTTCAATTTTTCCACCTTATTTATAGGTAAGATGTTTTGTGGTTTGTTCACCCAATGGTGTAGATATATTTGTAAACTTAATATTGGGTAAAATCATAAGAACCCAACTCATGACCCAAGATCTTGAACTTCATGATTCTCACAATAGCATTAGGCGGAAATTCAATTAGACTTAAATTACATACATACCTTGAATGATTAGTCTTCTACCATATCAAGATATTTGTCTTGAGTGATCCGTAGGCGAGCCGTTAGTGTGAAGGAAATAGATTTCTCTCTCTAGCCTTTTGCACGTTAGAGAACCCTAATATGTGTTTTCATCAACGTACACATAAGATGGGTATGTGCACTATTTTAGGCAGAGTGATCGATTATCTTGGCATGTGGTTATGTTCCCTTGGAGACCATAGCCTGCCTAGGTCTTTAGCATGTGTAGTTTTATCTTGCTTTGACTGTAGTTTTTTTTTCTTTTGGACACTCTAACGACCATGTCATTATGACTTTGTAATGTAGTGTTGAATCACTGGAGCTTGTATTAATTTTTGAATATTTGAGGCATGTTGTGATCTGCATGTCTTATATATATATATATATATATATATATATATTGCTTGGTTGGCAAAATTTGTTTTTATGAACTGCTTGAGATTCTCTGACAGGTTGGATATCCTTAAAAACAAGGTACATGCTGCCAAAATTTTGTCAGACCACTGGGCCTGAAAACACCTTCTTGTCATGCCTAAAAAAGGTCGGACTAGTATGTGCATGGTCTTTGCCAGGGTTTTGTATCCCAGATGTTTTGCATATTCTGGTTGCTTATCAAAAGGGGACAATGGTTTCGTTGTTCCAGCAGCTTAAGAATGCATGCCCCATATTATTTTGCTTAGGCATGCTGCTTGTTGATGGCCTGGGACCCCATCCAAGTGACTTTGCTTGGCATGTCTTAATGCTAAGTGGCGTGCTTTTTTTGTTTTTGTTTCGTTTTATGTAAAGGGGATTTAAAATGTATAAAGGGGTAATAAAACTTCATACACATATTTTTTTTTATAAAAATAATAATCCTTCATTCTCATTGCAAAGTCCCTGCTACCATGAAGGTGCACTATACAAAAGTGTCTTTTTTTTCAAAACATGAAGGTAAGACAGAAGGAGTTCATGTTTAAAACAAAAGGAAATGCAATAATAAAAAAGTGCTTCGCATAAGATTAACTTAGCAGTAGTAAAGCTTGAGCACTTTGCATTGATGAATACTCCAATCAAATCAAGCCCCCAAGTATGAAAGGACCAAGGAGTGTGCATGACTTGCAATAGCATGAAAGCTTGTGGCTTAGGTTGGCATGTATTTGGCATGTGTTATACAAGGCTGCCATGCTCTGCAGAGATATTTAATAGAGCCACAGTTGCCGCTTTACTTTTATGCGGCTCATAACCCAATTAATTAAAGAGTGATTTGCGGCTCTAATGAGAGGTTACAGCAGTTGTTTCTCAATAATCTTGTTGATCAAATGAAGCCCCCAAGTGGCGCTCTTCCTCCTCACTCTTCCAAGCTTCCTGCCCATTTAGTTTAACTGAAATGCTTATTTTCCTCACTGCTTCCAGCAGCCAAGAAAATTGGCTGATGCCAATATTTTCCAAATAAACTTTATAATCTACCACAATATTGCTATATCAAATTTCGACAAGCGCCTCCTCATCTTTCTCATCGTAGCAATCCAACGCTAGGTCCCAGAACCTGAACACAAAGTCCATAGGATCTTCGCCATGTTTTTGGCGAGTGTTGTTGAGTTGAGTGGTGGTAACTCTTTCTTCATACTGCAAATACTTCTTACAAAATCTACTTGCCAAATTCTCCCAAGAGCAAACAGAGTATGGCGCCAATGTCGTATACCATGTGTAAGCACGATCGGTAAGGCTCTTCGAAAATTCTCTAAGTCGGAGATTATAATCACCAGCATGTGGTCCCAAAGCATCGATGAAGTGGTTGACATGCTCCTTCGGGCTCCCCTTCCTTTCGTCGAAAAGGACAAAGCTTGGTGCTTCATAGCCTTTAGGATATGGCTGCTAGAGTAAACTTGATGTATACAGCGGCTGAGGAAGGTACTTTCAATCCTCCTAGCCACTTAGTTCTTTTTCCAGCATAGCAATGACGTCTTCTTGGGTGACAAAAGATGGTCTCTTTTGTTCAGACCCCTTTCCAGCAGCAGCAGATTCCTCTTGTGGGTGTCTCTCATTTTCTTCGCTTGGCTTTGGAATCGAATTTTTTTAGCTCTTTTATCATCTATGCCATCTCCCTCTAGGTCTCCCCCATAGCATGGATGGTTGCAATGAGGTCTAAGAGGGTAAAAGCTCCCTCACTTGCACATTCTTCATCTCTAGATGAGGCATGTTGCCTTGATTCCGAATCACCATGGTCTGGCCCATCTTGGGAAGTCATGTTGTTGCTTCTGGTCTTTTTCTTTGGAAGAATTGGTTAAGATAATGGCCTAATCCCCAGCACAGTCGCCAATTTATGTAAAGGGCTTTTTCTTCCGGCAGCTGCAAATGGGCTGGGCTGCCGTAAATGGCAGATTGATGAAATTGTCCCATGTGCCTGAGTTCGAAAATCAAACCCCAAAAATACTTCGAATGGGCAGTAGAGCCTTATAAAGCATCTTGGTTACCTTCGCCAACTAAAACAATAGCAACTTACAGATGATTTCTTAATGCTTATAGATAAATTTTCTAGCTTGGCATGAGAAGCATGTGGCATGAAAGCAAAATCAACATGAGTTTAGCATTGAAGAGGAAATTATGATTTCTTGGGGAAAAAGGGTTGTGTTAAGGTAGGAAAGAAAAGGTTTGCAAGAAGATTTGGCTGAGAAGAGAGAAAGAAAGAACAATGTTCTTCCGACGGCTTGACAGAAATTCTGTCATATGTGAAAGTGGTCTGCCATAAGAGGAAAATGGAGAAGAAGGGTGAATAGTGCACGAGATTGCTGGGTTTTTGCAGACAAGAAAGGAAGCTTGCTCTCTAGATGTGGGTTGGTTTCGTTGGGTAGAAGAGACCTCATTTTATAGCTGCTAGAAACCATCATTTCCCAAGAAACCCTAATGGTTTCTACCCAATTTGGCCAAGCTTTTCCCTTCATTTCTCCTCTCCTCCCTTGACTTTTCCTATCTTGGTGAAATTTCCCCTGCCTATTTGCACAAAGGATTTTTGAGAGTTCAATGCCCTTTTCCCGCAGCTGTCTCAGTGGGAGACTCCCATTCTTAGTTATTTTTCTTCTTCTTTCCTTCCTCCTTCCATGGCTAGATCTGATTAAGGAAAGCAAATGGATGTACATGCTGGTTCGAATGGTGCTTCTCCTCATAGCAGCTTGCACGCTAATATCCCTTGGTTCCTTGAATGTTTTTTACTTGAAACTTGCTCCTCCCATGTGCTGGAACCTCCCAGCAGCTTTGTTCAATGAACCTTCAGACCTCCCCTTCGTGGCTTTTGTTTTTCCAGCCAGGTGTTGGGGCCTTTGTAGCTCATTATGGTAATTGTATGGGCCAAGGTGGTTCATTAAGTAAGTGGGCTATTTTTATTAAACGTTGGTCTTTTTGGTTGAGTCAATAGACTATTTTGATTGGGCTATTGGGCTATTTTTTCCTCTTTTGTGCTCACCCACATGTTTGGGCCTAAGAAATGGGCTTGAGTCTCAAGGCTCCCAAGTAACCTTAGACTTCCATTTCTCGGCCCATCAATGAGCCTTATGTCAATTTATTACCATCCATACCACAACCCACTCAAGCAAGCCCCGGGAATTTGAGTGGCTTGGCCCCACTTAGGCTTGTAGCATGCTTGGGTGCGAAATAACGATTTCGTGCTTGGCATGGCATGTTTTAATTTTATCATCCTTGGGAAGGGCTGCGATGTTTAATTTCGGCATGGGCTTATAGAGTCGGTATATTTTATCTCAACCCCTAGCATGACGAATTATTTATTTAGCATGGCACGTGAACTACAACTCGCATGTGGCGGGTTTTCGTGTACTCCGTTTTACACCTTTTTTTAATATAATGTCTTTTTGGGCCGATAATTTATTCGGGCCCAACCGTGAATTTTTTGGATCTCAACACATAGGTATAATGTGTGGGTCTTACTTTCATTGATTAAATAGTATATATTAGGTAAATATTATTAAGGAAAGAATTCAAAATTCAATTACAAGGAAATAATGCATTAAAATTAGGTTTTTAATATGAAAGTAAATAAAGTCAAAGGATATACATCTAAAACCAAAAACGTGTGGACTAAACTCAATGATAACTAATCGTTTTGAACCTAAATCTAAGAACCCTTATTATTTTTGTAATTTCCTAGTTTTAATGTTGAGGAGTATATGCTTCTATTTACCAATCTACCTACTTTTGTTTTTAATAAGTATATCAATTTTAATTTCTTGAACTAAATAAGAAGAGAAGTTCTTAAGAAGTGTATTTTTCACATTAGAGGGGGTCCTTCACAAAATTTTAATAATAATTCGAATAGGAGCACTCAAGCGCTAATCGGTTAATAAGTTAATAATGTCATTTCATACTGATTAATAATTTATCCATTTGTTACAATCATAATTGTTCTTAATTTCATATTTTAAAGTGGTTGAATGTTAATCCCATCATCTACACTATTAAAGACTCAAAATTTAATAATATATACTTCAACAAAGAGAATAAATTCAAAAAATGTTTATAAATCCTTATATTAAGGTGCCCTACTTAAACATGTAAAATGGGGGAGAGGGGAATTCACAACAATTTATTTACCACATAGGTCACTTCATGTGGGCCACACAAAATATTTATAAAATATTCTTACAATATTATCCTACGGTATAGGTATATTGTCCTATTGCCCATTACATAGGTATAATGTGTGGGTCTTACTTTCATTGATTAAATAGTATATACTAGGTAAATATTATTAAGGAAAGAATTCAAAATTCAATTACAAGGAAATAATGCATTAAATTTAGATTTTCAATATGAAAGTAAATAAAGTCAAAGGATATACATCTAAAACCAAAAACGCGTGGACTAAACTCAATGATAACTAATCGTTTTGAACCTAAATCTAAGAACCCCTATTATTTTTGTAATTTCCTAGTTTTAATGTTGAGGAGTATATGCTTCTATTTACCAATCTACCTACTCTTTATTAAATTTTCCAAGTTGTGAATTTCTTGGAAGAAATGGGGCTTCCGTTTGGATGGAGATACTTTAAAGAAAGAGCTTATTTTTTATCACCATTTTAACCCAAGTTGTACCATAACCATCGTTCTCAACTTATATTTTTTGAAAATATCATTATCAACACTTGACACGTGTCTATGAGCATAACCATGGTTTCACAAATATAAAGCAAAAAAGTTAACTATGTTTTTGCCCATGAGCACTTATCAAGTGTTGAAAAGAGTGATGAAGGTACACTTTAAGTTAAAGTGGTGAGCAAAATGAATTAGATTTGACAAACATGGAAGTAAATTTTTTACCAATAACCAACTTACCAAAAACACTAGATGACAACAACCAACATAAATTTTATTCCAAAAGACAATGGTCACCAGGTTCTGTGAACCTCATGTAATTAAACCATAAGGACCTTTATATAAAAGAAGAAGAAATACCCAAGTGATCTTCCACCAAGAAATACTCCACTACTTTTCACACAAACAATATCAATATGGCTTTGCTCATCAGAAACGTATTGTTGCTGCTAATGGTGTTGGTGTTGTTCCAAACTACTTGCGGTTGGAGTTTTCGTAAGCATAGCCTAACTGTTACCGCCACTAATGATTTGGGCGCAGAGATGACCATTCACTGTAAATCCAAGCAGGACGATCTTGGTTCCAATCTTATCCCCATTAAAGGCAAGTATGAGTTTTCATTTCGGCCCAACTTTTGGGGGACAACACAATTCTATTGCAGTTTTCAGTGGGGAACTGAATTTCACTATTTCGACATATACATGGGAGATAGGGACCACGAGAATTGTGATAGTTATAAGTGCATGTGGAGCATAATACCAAAGGGTCCTTGCATGTGGAACTATTTAACCGGTCATTACGACATTTGCAAAGACTGGAACGATAGTAGTCTGAAATCATATGCTCCTTAATTAGTTGTAATTTCTTTGTTGTTATGGGAGATGGAAAATGTAACTTACATTATGCCCTTCTTCATATATTTATAATTATCAAGAGTTTCGGCCTGCTGAATCAAGGGTTTGAATTTTTGTTGGTTTAGGTGTAATTCTCTTCATATCAATTTATTTGATCACTAGAGATGTTGTACTCATTTCGGCACTTTTGTGGCTTTGTACTATGTTCTATTTCTTCAATAAATACTATCGCTTGTTAAAAAAATAATAAATAATAATAATTATTATAAAATAAAAAAAAACTAAAACTAAAACTAAAACAAGAGCTTGATTTTATTGGTATCGGCATATAGGGATTTTTCTTTATTTATTTTTTTAATGCGACGCGTATATAGGAATTGGTTATATCCGATTGTTGAAATTAACAAGTTTGTAATTTGTTAGTTTTAATGTTGAGGACTATATGCTCTATTTATCAAATCTCTATTATCTTTTGTTCTCTTTACCAAGTGTATGAATTTAAATTTCTCGAAATTAAAGAAGAAGATAGGTTTCAAGAAATTTTATATCAACTTTGATTTCATTGGATTTAAATGGAAGATGAACTTATATTTTGTACTTGGCATATGCTATGATAAATTGATTTGATTCACTGGCTTTGTTCATTTTGGTTCCTTCATTTTCCGTTCAAAGTTTCTCGAGTAGTGCTCGTAGGACCAGTGGCGTAGACAGAGGGTGGTTGCGTTTCGGTTACCGCAACTTTTCAATGAAATCGTGAATCGACCAACATATTGCAGTATGATAAAAAGACGAACCATGAACTGACCGACATATTGGTATAGGGAACAACATAACATTACAGAATTTTCTATCAACAACAAAAAAATGTTATGCTCATGCTTAAAAATACTGCTGAAATAAGCAGAACTTTCTATCACTAGCAATGATTTTTTAACTTATATACGGAGGAGAATGAACTTTATTATTAAAAATAAACCAATAGAATCCACAATCCTGCTAATGCACAATTAATCAACTAAATAGTTGATTGCAAGCTAGAGATTATCTCGGCTAACCCACTAACAACAACCTCAACACAACCGATGTTGCAATACTAATTGAAACCCAGGTTCCTACTAGATAAAAGTTTAATTATTGAAACCCACTAATGCCTCAGATTGAGCCCTAATCCTCACATCGACTTCGAGCCTAGACCCATTCGTGGACAAATTTGGGGCCTTCGAGCTTTGCTCCACGGACATGGTGGTGCTCTAAATGTCCTGATTGTAGACCATTTCGACCTTGACTTTGTTTGACTCTCTCTCTGTACCTACGACTCCAATTTGTCCAACTTCTTCAGCTCGTTGGCATCAAATAGTAGCAATTATGAGAGCAACAAACAACTGATAAACAATTGCTCAAGTACATATATGTCGACGGCGTTTTAGTGGCGATAGAGACTGTTACAATAAGAGCTTTAGTTCTTCAATGGAGGACTGTTGAATTTCTAGGGTTTTTCAAGGGGAAGGAGGAAGACGGAAAGGATGAGTGTATCCCTAAATCTAAAATCGTTGGGTTTCTTTTCTTTCTGTTTTTATTTGATCTGTGTGAAATTCTTTTATTTTTTATAACAAATTATGTAATTAAAACAAATGAAATGGCAAATGACATAGGTTGCCATGACATGTGCCACATGTGTTAATATCCAAAAGTTGGTAAATAAGTTGGTGCCCTTAGCGTTATTGTAAACATATAGTGATTATAGACCGGCGGTGGACAGCATCAAGTTGGCCACTGCTAAGATTCCTTTAAATGCATGTTAAATTAGAGATTGGGATCCGATGCTATATTAACTTACTTTGTTTTTATAAAATTCAAAAAAGAAAAAAAAAATACTTAACTTGTTATATACAAATCATCAAAATTGAAGGAAGTTGAGGCTCCACTATAAAACCAATTGGCAATAGGGGAGGCCAATACATTATAAGCCCTTGCAAAGTTTTCTAACTTTCCAATGTGGGACATTTTTCACTTCACATATTCTCACAAAAATCAAGTATATTTTTGCTTATTCCTTTTTTCCATCTAAATAATTGCATTCCAGTGTTTAATTTTTTATACTCAGTCAACATAACTCAACGATAATCATGTTTCTATGACCTGAATTTTCTTTTTAATACAAGCGAAATTGGGAGAAGGGAGAATTGAATTGACATCGTATGTGTGAATAAATACTATTACCTTCTTGAATTACAAGGTTTATGGGCCAATATAAATGTGCATTAATTTTGCTCTTATCCTTATGAATAATTCCCATTTTATTCCAATAGAAAAAATTGTTACCTGGTTCAATGATCCTCATTGATTAGGCCATGAGGAAACCTACTGTATAAAAGAACATGACACCCTCTCGTGATCATCCCTCAACAAACTCCAAGTGGTTTGGAGATAATCCAACAATCAATATCATTACATGGCTTCGCTCATCAGAAATGAGCTACTAATTGTGCCTGTTTTGTTCCTAACTATGTGCCATGCAGACGGCAAAACAACTGTTAGAACCATTAATAATTTGGGTGCAGAGATGACCATTCACTGTAAGTCCAAGGACGATGATCTTGGCATCCATGTCGTCCCCGTCGGTGGCTCTTACGAGTTTTCGTTCAGACCAAATATTTTTGGTAGAACATTATTCTTTTGCAGTTTCGCTTGGGCAACTGAGTCTCACTATTTCGACATATATAAAGCAAAAAGAGAGTTCCCGCCATGGCACGACCGCACGTGGAGTATATTGCCGAGCGGTCCCTGCATGTGGAATTATGAGTCGAGTCAATATGACATTTGCTATCAGTGGAATAAGGATTAATCTGAAATCAAATGCTTCTCAAATTTAATTGCTTTGTTGTTAATTATGAGAAATAAGTGCTTGGCAACGCAAGTTCGTATGGGAGGATGCGGCTCCACCTTGCCTAAGGATGTTCTTGGATAAAGACGGGGATATGAGGGGTAGTTTTGTTTTGCTGTAATTTGTCTGTTGAAGGGTTGTGATACTCATTTTTATTGACCGAAGTTTCCTCATTTGGGGGATCTTATGGCAAGGTTTTAACGAGGTTAATGTTATGCCCTCATTTCTTTTGTTCAATCTGATTTGATTTAATGTTTCCCCTTTGATTCTTTTATTTTTTATTTTTAAACTTTAAGTTTTGTGGATCATAATACCAAAGGGTCCTTGCATGTGGAACTAGGATTTGAATAAGTATGACATTTGCTAAGCGTGGAATAAGGATTAATCTGAAATCAAATGCTTCTCAATTTCTTTGTTGTATTAGAAAAGGAAAATTTACCTTTGGTTGCTGTTTTTTTTAATTAAAAAAAAATATCTAGAATAAAAAACCTAAAAGATTATCATCTAATTCTCATCCTATTTCTTTCTCTATATTCTCTAACTTCACTTTCGTTAGAACAAATGGTCATGTGTCACGTCTTGGGATCGGCTCCGCCGTAGTACGATATTGTCCGTTTTGGGCTCCCCTCTCTGCCCTCACAGTTTTGTTTCTGGGAACTCACAAGCAACTTCACAATGAGTCACCCATCCTGGCATTGCTCTAGCCCCAACTCGCTTAACTTCAGAGTTCCCATGACTCCGAAGCCAGTGAGCTCCCAAAAGACCTCGTGCTAGATGGAGGTGGACATGTACATATAAGGCACATCACCCTCTCTCTGTTGGTCGATGTGGGATGTTACAATGCCTTCAATTTTGTTAACTTTTTCTGTTAAATGCAAGGTATTTTTATGTTAAAACCAAAAAAAAGAATAAAAAATCATATATTTAAAATAACAATAAAAGAAAATCAAATAAAAAAACCAACCCAAAAAATAATAATAAAGTCGAGGGAGTAGAAATCGGGATAGAAGGGGAGAGAGAGAGAGAGAGAGAGAGAGAGAGAGAGAGAGAGAGAGTTTAATTTTAATTTTTTAATTTTTTATAAATTTTTTTAATTTTTATTCATATTTTAATTAATTTTGATACGAAAATATCATTTTGCCCCTGCATTTAACAGAAAAGTTAACAAAATTGACGGCATGACCATTTGTCTTAACGAAATTGAAGTTGACAAACCATGGGAACCATTTTGGAAATTGAGGAACTCAAATGCAAATCCAGTCTAAATTCAGGGACTAATAAAACGATTAACCATTTTCCTTTTGTATTCATGGTCATCATACATATATGTTCATATTTAATTTTCTTAAGAGGATTTGTATAATTAGTTTGTACCGTTTTAAGGTTTTACATTAACACCATTTTTTTCAACCAAAAGAAAAAAGGATGAAAACCGATTCCTTTTTGCCTATATTTTCATCAATCAAAAGGGAGAAAGCGGACCATCAAATTATATTACCTATATTAGATTGAGTTCAAAAAAAAATTCACAACAAGAAATAACTAAGAGTTATTTACACTAACACTCTCTGAGATTTTTTATTTTTTTTTACAAAATTCCTTGAGATTTTAGAAATTACACGAACATCTCCTAAGGCTTTAAATTGTTTTTACGAAACCATTTTCATTAATTTTTCGTTCAAAGATTGATGATTTTATACAAAACAATATCCAAATGACAAAATTGGCCCTTGAGATTAGATTGCATACTTCATTGAGGTTAATTTTGTCATTTGCATAGGTTTTTTTATATAATAAAATCATCAATTTTTTTACGAACAATCAACAAAAAGAAGTTTTGTGAAAACAAACTGAAACCTCAAAGAGTATTTATGTAATTTTTGAGATCTGAAGGGGTTTTGTGAAAATATAAAAAACCTCGGGGATTATTAATGTAAGTAAACATCTCCAAACCTTCTTATTAGTTTGTACCTTCCTAGTTTATATAATATTAGACCGTAGTTATCGTTTGCTAAAAGAACTTAATTTAGGCTCAATAGGTTTAGAGTTATATTCACTTCCTGTTTAAATAAAAATAATAAATTATTATTTTTAGAACTTTTCTTATTGAGAGGGATTATAATATATTAAATTCATATACAATACACGAATGTTACGACACAATTGAGAACCTTTACTAAGAAACAATTGCTGCAAAACACTACACCAGTAGGTCCTTTGCAAATCAAACAAATTAAAAATAGAGCAAAATAGAGAAAGAAGACAACTCGATTAAAAATATATATATAAAAAGAAAGGAGGAGACGATAAAGTAAAATCAGAAAACAGAGTAGGCAGAGAGCATCAAAGCGTGAAAGAGAGCAGCCGAAAGCAAAATTCTAACTCAAACAAAACACAAGCAACACTCGCAGAGACTTTCACAATCCCAAAGCAGCAATGCAAAACTTAAGCCCATCGCCACCGCCATTATCACCACCTTCATTTCTCTCCGCACCCACCGCCCTCTCAATCAAAGACCCCAAAGCCCTCCTCTCAATCATCCTAGTCTCTTCCCTTTTTGCTCTCCTCCTCTTCCTCTCTTCCTCTTCCTCATCCTCATTCTCATCCTCCTCTTCTTCTCCGCATTCTATGCCCGACCCGTATCTCTTCCCGACCCGACAAGCCCACCGCATCGTTTACCACGACAACAACTCCTCAGATCCCATCCCTCCCTCCATAGCCTACCTCTTGTCCGGGTCAAAAGGCGACTTGGGTCGGATCCTCAGACTCCTTTACGCCACTTACCACCCCAGAAACCAATATCTTCTCCACCTTGACCGCTTTGCTTCTGATTCTGAGCGTGAAAAGTTGGCTCTCAAAGTCCAGTCACTCCCCATTTTCAGAGCTGCCCAGAATGTCCATGTCATTGGAAAGGCTGATTTTGTTTACCCAACAGGATCTTCTGGTATTTCCTTTACGCTTCATGGCGCGTCGATTCTGCTTCGCTTGTCGCCCATTTGGGATTGGTTTATTAGCCTCAGTGTTGGTGATTATCCACTTGTTACACAAGACGGTATGGATTTTGTGGCATTGTTGTTGGATTTGAATTACTGTTTCTGATTTTTTTAATTTTTTTTAGTGTATTTTTTGGTTTTATGTCGGATTTTTTATATGGGGTTTTCTGGGTTGTGTAGATCTTCTTCACATTATGTCATTCCTGCCCAAAGATCTAAACTTTGTGAACCATTCAAGTTATATTGGTTGGAGAGAGTACGATCGTATGCCTTTCAGATTTATCGATTTCGCATTTATGTTTGTATTCAAGTTTTGTGTGGATGCTGTAAATGAAATGTAAGGTTTGTGTTTGCTGTTTACAGGTCTAGGAGATTGAAACCGATAATTGTTGATCCGGGGCTTTATCTTTCTCAGAAAACTGAGATGTTCTATGCTGCACAGAAAAGGGTGTTGCCTAATGCTTACCGGTTGTTCACAGGTGCATTTTCTTTGTGAACTAGTTTTTGCTTAAATTAAGTTCTTTATTTCAATTATCAAAGAGGAAATTGTACTACGAAAAATGTGATTGCCTGTGTGTTAGTTTGAGCTTCATTTGCACAGAGTATGAGTTGTTTACAGAGCGAATGAACATCAATAGTCTATCTAAGTTATCCTCGCAAAATTTTAGTTGAGATTTAGTTATCCATTGTACTTCCATCAATTAGTACTATAATTTGGTCAATTTGCAACGTGTTTAAATTTGAAATTCAAATGATGTTACCAAAGAATAACCTATAAAGTGGTGTGAGCTTGTAGATTGTGTGATTAGGCTAGGTGAGTCCCGCTGCTGGATACATAAGGATCCATCAAGCAGTTATCGGATTGAAGCAATCACCTACCCTTGAGCATCTAATGGGTTATCACTTTCTGTTTGCATTGCTAGAGCTGGAGAAAAAGCTGAAAGGTAACAGCCTTCCAGTTTGTTTTTCACTGTCATTGGTGCCAAGAATTTTTTGGCCAAGTGTTATGGTTTTGGTGGTTTAGGATCAAAACCAATTTTGGTTAGAAAAGAATCCAATTCTGGAACACTACTCAAGTGGTCTTTTCTATGGTGGTGGAGAACCTGGAGATGCATAGAGGACCTAGGTTGCTTTGTATGAAGCCTTGCAATTTCCATTCAAACAAAGTGAATTTGAGTTCTTAAATTTATCTACTGGTTCCTTTAGCTTTGTGTTCAGAACTAAAATTATAATTACTGGTTACTACTTTCCCATCCGTAGTGTCAATTGCAGAAAGATATTAGGAATGAGTCAGTTTGACCTTTTAGTTGCCAACAAACTTAGAGATTGAATTAGTGATTCTTCTTTTTTCTTCCCCATAAATACTATGTAATATGTGATATTCTTAAGTTTTGCACACTGATGATGTAAAATATGTATTCTTCTTAAATTTAACCTTTGAGTTCTGTCACAAAGAGGCAGTCTAGATGAGTTAATATCAGCTTTTTACCTGGATTAAACTGAATAGATTCAAGATTACTTGCCTATACAGCAATGACCACAATGTTTTCCAATTACCATATAAAAAAGGAATAGGCATTGAAGAGAGTCAGCATAGAAAGACAATCAGAAAGAAGATAAGCATTTGGCATAAACTTTTGGCAAAGAAATGTAACATCCACCCGGTGACCTTCGTCACCGTACTCTCTTGATAGCTTCAATAGTTCACTGAAAGGCTTGAGAAATGGGATATAGCATTGGAAAGGTTATTAAAGTGGGCAGAGAAGCAAAGTAGGGTGATCCAGTTATGATACTATCTGATTGAAGATCTCGTAACTCTGGTGGTCTTTGGGACTGAGACCATGGACCAATTGATATGTGCCAGTTATGCCTACCGTGATGCCCTTACGCTATCCTGAAATTTGCACTACTACTTTGTAGATATGAACTGTACTGTGCTTAACTGTTCGCTGATCGTTGTTATGTAAAACTTCCCTTTTTTGCTTTCTCTCTTTTTTCCAATTGAGATAGGGATCATTTTGGAAACTTAGTAGTAGCAGTTTATTAAAAATAATTGTCAGACTAACTCGTATGATCATTTTTCTCTGCAGGTTCTTCTTTTGCGATTCTAAGTCGTAATTTTATTGAGTTTTGTGTTGTTGGTACTGATAACCTGCCAAGGACTGTATTGATGTATTTTTCTAACACACCTTCAGCCCTTTCCAACTACTTCCCTACCATTCTTTGCAACTCCTATCAGTTCAATAAAACTGTCATAAACCACAACTTGCTATATGCTAATTTCGACACACGAAAGAAGCCCCAGCCAATCAGTTCCGATGATTATGATGTTATGATTCATCATGGGGCTGCCTTTGCCACAGGATTCCGGTTAGATGATCCAATGCTTGACCGTATAGATAGAGATGTATTAAAGCGCGGTCGAGGAAAAGTTGTGCCTGGTGGCTGGTGTTTAGGTGGGTTTGGAAATGACACGTGCTCAGTCTGGGGAGATGCTGATATTTTGCGGCCTGGTCCAGGTGTAAGAGGACTTGAGAAACTTATGGTTGGATTGCTCTCAAATGGCTCATTTCGATCTCATCAATGTATATATGAGTGATCTGGATCCTCTGTCCCACGAGAGATTGAATGAAAATGATAATGTGAGTTGCCCCTTCAGCATTTGAAAATTTGGGAGAAGAATATCTGATAGGGACTGATTTTAGCGAAACTAGGCTTAGTTAAATTGAAATTGTTGTAAAATGTATTACAAATCATTGTGCTTGGAGTTGACCAAGGTGTCCTGTTGTACAAGTGATGTATTACAAAGCATATAACTTGAAATGACTGTCATATATCTCCTTTTGCTATCGAGGTTGAGCTCTAAGCATATAGGTTTGTTGGTGAAAATGTGCTACGCGTTCTGAACCATTGTTTTGTTTTCCTATTTTATGTATTCTGAGTCATTATTTTTCCAGAGTGTTCCAATAATATATTTGCATGATAATATTAGTTTGTAATTTTTTATTTATGAAATTGACTCGTTTTACTATTGAAAGACTAGCTCCTTAAAGCTAAATTTGTATATAACGTTGACAATTAAGGTTATGATATAAAACTGATTTTTTGAAAAGCAAAGGGCAAGGGGAGCCTTGGATGGCTGGATCATTAGGGTTTTTCTTTTTGTAATTCTTTAAGCACAATGTGACACTGCTAGCATCCATAACATTAACACCACTAACATTGGGACAACAGCTGCAAATACAAGTGCCCACGATACATTAAGACCATATTTATTGTCATTCCTTTTCTAACAATGGCGTTCCCTGGAATTGGAGGAACATCATAGTACAAAGCATCTAGGTAAGCCAATATGGAGATGGTGAAACATCTGCCTTGGCCCTTTGTCGAATTTTTGACACACTTCACTACAAACCTGTGCAAACCTGTGCAATATGAATAAGTTCTAGCACATCCTCAGGTCTTCTCTATCTCTACAATAACAATTCCTCCGCTGTCTCCATGAGCAGCATGTTTTCTCATTATTGCACTCAAATCTATCTCTCCCTCTCCCTCTCTTGGGCTTGCAAGAATTTTAGAAAAATCCAAAAAATGTGGCTACTGCAAAAACTAGAAACAAACCACCGCCCACATAGCCAACCTGATTGAAGATACCGTGGGTTTAATGTTGTAATATTATGACATCAAGCTACAAGTTTCTAATATTAATAATATCAAGGGAAGGTTATGGATCTTACCAGTTTTTCAGAAATGTAGTTGGCAAGAAATGCACCTCCTAGAACAGCGATGGATGTTGCAAGTACATGCCCAGCAATGGCTCCACTTGCTACACCCCATGGAGACTGTATTCAGGAATTATTTTAGACAAAAACCATCACCAAAATATAGTAAAACATGGAAGGAAAGATATGCTGTGTCTTAAACTAAACATGGTTGCACCTGTGCAGCACCAAGAGCAATCGTGGCAAGCATTGAGCGATCTCCCCATTCCTAGAAGCAAAAACAATATAGTAAAGTTGACATCTGTCCTTCAGGCCATAGTAATACGCATGTAAAATGATTCTACAAATTATGCAATATGCTTACGGCAACAAATATAAGGGTGAATGATTTCCAGACAATTTCAAGCGGATTAGAGAGCCTCTTTGACACCTGAGAAAGTGTAAATGATAAGAATGGCTCAGAACAGAATCTTCTAAATGGATTTGGGAAAATATATAACACATGGACACAGACGCGCATGCGCCAAAACACAGCCAAATCATTGAGAAAAACAAAATTTGAATTGTGCCCCTGCAATAAAAAATTGCAAAAGGCAGAACTTTGTATATGCACAAAGCCTGAGTATTATAACCTTGTGAACTACTAGACTACCTTCTCTTTCACAAACTCCTCAGCTTCAACATATTCATCAAGCTCAGGGCTGCTCTTATCACCACTCTTAGCAACATTTGATGGAAGGTCCCACGCATCTTTTATTGATTTGAGACCGAAGAATAGTAGAAGAGTTACAGCTGCATATTCTCCAATTGGCAAGGCTGTTGATATGGCAACAGAACAACAAAAGGAGGAGATTTAATGTCAAATATGGTTTTACATAATTTCATCAGGCCATTAAAAAATGCATCTCAAAATTGATATAAGTTTGAGACATCATTAAAATATCAAGCACAAGTATTTACTGTTCAAATTGTTGACATTCACTGAAAACAGCCAACTATGAAAGGAGTTTAGAATAGAAAGTTGCGACTGATCATCCAATCTCATACAATGATATCTAAGCACATACAAATCCATAAATTTGCATAATCCTCATTAATCAATTTACAAATAAAGTCATACATCAAAAGACACGAGAATTTTATCTCAAAATTCAAATTCTTCATACAAAATCTATAGGCATCCATGATGGTTTAACATTGGCTTCGATGCACCAAGCACAGGTAATCTGGAACTTGGGTTTCTCTGATTCGGTGATTTTCTGGTAGATTTTTGGTTGAGAATTAGGATTGATAGAGAGCAAAGATGAAGAATATGATGTCCATTTGGTTTCTTTACAACCCATTTTCATGAAATTGTAGTACTCATCATCATGTGTTACATGCTTCATTTCTGTTGAAATTGATGATTTTGCATAAGAGAGAACCACGAGAAGTATATGTTAAGAGTATTACAGAGCATTTGAGCACATGCAGTCCTCCTGTCCGACACACACCAATAAATACTGGGACGAATCCCACTAGGGGAGGCCCCAAGAGGTTGGGGTGGTCGAAATCAAGACCATCTCGGAGTAAATTAAAATTGAGTCAAGGCTAACATATCCAGGAACATAATGTTTCTTTGTTTAACATCAATTTAGGCACTATCTAGTAGACATAACCAACTAAGATGCGTGAATAGAGAACAAGACAGGTTGCATGTGGCATGGAAAAAAAAACCAGCTAGGATTGTATTTCAAAAGAATCATCAAGATGATAAAAGTCGTTAATGACATTGATTAGGGACCTTTGGATTTTGGGGGGGGAGGGGGAGAGAGGAGGGAGACTAACCCTTTTTCTTTATAAAAAGCTTAGTTGACAGGCAAGCTGATTAGCATTGGAAGACTATTTACTATTATCTAACTGATCTGCCGGTTAGCAGCACATTAATATCGCCAACCTGTTTTCTGAATACACCTGCAACTATGTTCAAGATGAGAAATGCCAAGAATTACAACTTACTTGTCTGGAATTGAGCAGGCACCGAGTTAAATATTCGCCCAATAATGACAGACAGGATTGTCATAAGTGAAAGAGCACCAGTTGACCCCAACAGAACCTGTTAAATTAAAGCAAGTAACCCAAGTATTCATCAATTAATACTGAATCTGTTTTAATATGGCTGTCTGAAATAGCATTTGCAATTTCATCAACACCATTTAACTAAGTTGTTCTCAGAATGACATTTCCATTGTTTTGTATTAAGGGAGCGTGAAGATCCTAAACAAAGATTTAGTTCACCAATGGCACTCCAAACTCATGTATTAAGAAAGGATTTTGCATTAAGTTTTCAAGTTTTTTTTGTCTCCTAAATATCTAGATTATAGGGAGGGTAACATTATGCTTGAACCATTTTGGTCATCAACGTAAGAGGTTCTTGGAATTAATTTCATCTCACTAGTTTTATCAAATTACAGGCTGTTGTCTGTTTTGTAATATATGTATTGGGGTTGGTACTTAAATTACTTCAGAACAGTTCAGGCTTTTTGAGATCCTAAGCTATGTATAAACACTATAGAGAGAAAAATAACGATTAGCTCGACTAGAACAAACTAAGGACAACAAAGCATTGTTAGTTGTTGTTTCCTTTTGGGGTTTTATCCCCCCTATCTCATCCAAAAAAAAAAGGGGGGGGCAACAAAGCATTCCTCCATGAATTTTTTGAAATTCAGGACTGAGGAACTTCAATTCCTAATTAGGAATCTACAAAAACCAACTAATCAGTATATTGTTTCTTAATTCAAGAGTAATTCCATATCTTCAAATGGTTTACTAAAGATAACTCTTCCAATAAGGGTTCAGCTGCCTTTAGGTTTTAATTATGTCCTGCTTTATATCCAGTTACAGTTTTCCCCTCTGTTGCACGTTAAGGGAAGAAAAGCAGAAAACAATATATTTTCTGTTGCAAGGAGAAACCACAGTTTGTTTCCTTTTCCATAATAGAAATCAAGGGTTTATCCATATATAAGTATAAATTTGTCAGTTACTAGGTATAAACACTCATCCAACAAAAAATATACATGTATATATGTGTGCCTATACAGATCGGCGAAATAACTGAAGAAAGAACATAATCAACGTTAGTATAGTCAAAATTTAGAGAAGTTAGAAAAAATCATACCAGTGCTTTGTCATATTGCATGGCCAGGAGTGCAGCAATGAAGAATGTCTAGTCAATAAACAGAAAGTATAACTTAGGTCCAACTTTCAACTCTAGTAGCACACATAATAGAAAAATTACGGAGAGTTTCACGTCTTGGAAACTAGCTTTATGACATAGTTTTCAGGTTCAATAGATTAAATTCCTTAATTCATGATGATAGTATATCCAATCTCAGCCAATTCAATAATCAAATGTTAATGACAGTCAACGAGTAGTTAGATCTAAAGGATAATTAAAATTTTCTAAAAGTGAAATCTTCATAATAACAAAATAGAAACTATTATTTTCTTAACCCCGGTACTCAACTTTACCAAAAATTGTCATCTCTCTAGGTTTAGCTACACGAATCTTTTGTGCCATACCACATTACTTAAGGTCACTATTCTGCTCTACTTAGGATTATATCTTGGAAATGCAGACGCATCTTTTACATGTAAAATTCCCAACATCTTTGTCACCAATTGACATGAACATGAAAATAAAATAGAAGACAGCTAAAAAAGTTGAGTTACCTTGTCACCAATTTCAGAAACAAATATTAAAGAAAATGCAGCTGTGAAGCCTGATTTTGCAATTGCTGCTAAAAGTGTTGAAGGTCCTCCTTTCACAAAGGCAATCAGAGAAAAAACTAAGGCACACCCAAGTAGCACAAGACCCACAGATAGAGGATAAGGGATTTGAATTTGACGCTTCTCACTGCCAAATCATGAAAAATGAGTATGGTTCAGGTAGCTCATTATGGACTGATAGCAGTTTAATATGCAACAATTCAAAGGAATCAAGTCAGATGATATATAATACACACCCACACACACTACTATATCATCAATTCAACAGGAAATCAAATCAATTCAATAAAGCTCACATTTCAGATAAACTGTCAGTGGGTGCATCATTGGGAACGATTTTCTCATTCTTGTTTTCCTCCCTGCCATCAAAGCCTCCAGATCCAATACTAACGTTAGATGCTTGAACTCGTACTTTGCTGCCCGTGGGCCTTGATATCTCTCTATATCTTACTATAAATAAGTTAGGCAGTGTATTACTCAGAACATGCTATAAACACACAAAATATATGACCTTACAGATCAAAGAAGAAAGGCAAACAGTATGGCCTTCACAAGTATTACAAGAATTAGCACCTTTGAAACCAGACAGAGTGATTTGTTCAAGAAAAGTCAATAATGTATTACTTCAAACATTTGTAACTAATCACAAGAAGTAAATATACAATGCATTGTTATTGGGTATGCCGTATGCATCCGGATCAACTAACTGAAGCAATTCATGAAAAAACGGCAACTTTCAAACAATCATATGCACCTGCCATCTGAACTGAAACAATTTATGTCCACTACCACCACTAACTGAAGCAACCAGCCTCCTAAACCGAATTCTTACACACTTTACTATACATAAAATGGTTAGATTTACTATGATTCTCCCTACCCAAATGGCACAATTTTCACAAGAATCAATCTACAAGGTCAACCCAGATAGCCAATGAATCTTGTAATTGGTGTCTTATTGGGTAACTGAGTCTAAATTATCAAAAACATGATAGCTCAACTTCCACTAAAAATCTTCCAGCACTCAAATTGTATAGGAAGTCATAAAACAAATGTAAATCCAAAAACTAACCAATATGCAAGAAGTCCCTCTTTGAATTCCAGATAGACGGTAAAGATTCCAACTTGAAAAACGGAAGTGTTTCAGAGAGAAATAATTGGATGAGAACTTACACGAGGGTGAGATGGGCTTTCTAGAAACAGTGGGACAGCTTGGTAGAGTGTCCACCAAAGCTGACAAAGGAAGCTTCTTTCCTGGAATGAATGGTGTATGAGGAAGCCCCAAACCCTGCATTCTTTCTTTCCTGTAAGACTTTTCTTCTTACAGTTTTTTCATCTCCACCCAAAAGACTACTTTTTCTTTTTTTTCCTCTTTTGTATGTTGGGTTTTGAGTTTTCGCAAAGCAGAACTTGGGATTGAGCTGAGAAGCCGTTGCCCAGTTGAGCAAGCTCTGTTTTTAAAGCTTTCAAGATAGTTCCGAGGGTGGGGATTTTCTAGGCTGCCACGTGTGTTATGGGAGAGATAAAATGGAAGCTTGGTAACGTGCCCACCGAACGACGATGAATGGCTATGTGTACTGGGGCCCGTAGGCTACAAATTGAAGCAAAGAAAATTTGGATTATGCTAGCAATCACCGAAACTCGTTTGAGTGACTGTGAACCGTTAATTAATTAGAAAACTCACATATAATAATGGCTCACAATTATTTAAGCGCGTAATTAATTTCAAACAGGAACAACTTGATTTTGATGCAACAAACTCATTTAACTAGTATCGCCATCAGTACAAACTTCTTTGTTCTTTTTCAACAATTTCTAAAGAGGCAAGGAGCTGTTTTGGCATGTTCTTTACACTCTCCCTCTAGATATGATTCTTCACGTCACGGCCGTTTTTTGCCTTTACTGGGGCCATCTGGTTGGTTCTCTTTTTGTTGTAAAGTAAGGCCTTGTGTTTGGGTGTTTTGTCAGAGCCATTGTAGGTGTGTTTTTGGTTTGTTGTGTTGGGCTGGTGTAGATTTTTGAGTTTGGACTAAACTTTTGTGCAATTTATGCTCTTATCAATGAAGTTCAGATAGGATGGCCCAAAATTGAAGAAAGGAAAAAACTCTGTTGATTTATGGCTGTCACTCCCACATTTTGGAGAGAGTGTGGATAGGTTGGGGAGTTGGACCCTTCCCTTCATGTAACGCAAAACCAACAATTTACAAAAGGACCGGCGCTTGATGAAGATGCTACCATTGAATAAATTGTACAGGTGCATGTGTGCAGTTTGTGCTGTTGCTGAGTGCTGATTTACTATATAGTAACGAGTTCTCGTAACAAGCTATATAGAGTCGTAAGGGTTTGTAACTCAAGTAGTTAAGGACATTTACTTCTACACTCAAGGTCCTAGGTTCGATTCCTCTCTCTCCAGTATCACACTATCTTGAAAAGCTATATAGAGCGAGCCTGCCTAACTTAGGATTTTATTTTCCTTTCTATAATTTATTATTTTCATTGGAGATGACTTGTTTAAGAGTGAAGGAAAAAAAAAACAGTTCCAGACTTATGGCCATTTTAGCTGGTTAACATTCTAGTAGACGGAATCTTTGGACATTTAGAAGGGGCAAGGTGGCTCAATTTTGATTGTTATATTCATTCCACTTTCCTTCATCCATGTTAGAGAATTAGTCAGACAAACATAAGATTGGAAACAAGTCTCCCAAAAAGCAATGTGGGGATATTTCAATGTCAAATTTTCCCTTGTTGGATCTATAAACTAAAGTTTTTTGTGTTATATTATTAGTATGCTCGGTTTTCGTTATAATTCGAGTAATGCTACAGACACCAAATCATGTTTTGAGGACTATTGCAAGATTTTTTGCATGGTAAATTAACTTGCACAATCAATTCTTTGAACCGTACTTGTGAGAAGAAGGAGTTTGCTCCAAATGCCATTATATAAATGCCAGCCCAAGTTCTTTTTTCCGAGGCGTGGTCTCCTCTAGGTTTAATAATTCTGCCAAGTTCATCAATCTTACAAATTTGCATCCCGTAAGGTAATCAACCTCAATCATCATGATGACATTGGATATTTTTGTCAATATCTTCACATAGATTTGAAATTATACATTAAATACATGCATTCTATCTGATGGAGGGTCCAGCCTCCACCGCCCAATCTCATTACAGTCCTTGACAAATGACTATTTTACTCATATTTTTTGAATGCATCGTATTATTCAGAAAAACGTGTGAGTTGTGATTTTTACCATCACTAATAATTCCTACTATGCATGCATAAAGACAGACAAATCTACAGTTTATTTCCTGTAGCAAATGAGGGCAATAATTTGAGTGCTTTGAAAGATTGTGGCGTTATCTTACTTAAAAGTTGATCATCACAAGATAATTCTCTCTCTTATCAAAGTGATGAATATCAGTAGAAGCTGTTGGTAAAAACATGTTGGCATGAAAACATCCGAATCCTTCGAACCGTAAATCGTTCGAATCTCTTGCAACAAGTAAAAGGCTCCTGACCTGATCTGTAACTCATCATATAAGAGAAAGGACCAAAAGATAAAGAAAAAAAAAGGCAGCAAGGAAAGGAAAGCAAAGTAACTGAAGGCGTGACGCATTGTATGAGGCACCAGTTGAAACCCCAGGTGAAGAACGTGGAATTCTAAAATTGTGAGGGGTTAATGCTACAAAGTTATAGATGCATATATATTTAGTTGGTACGTGAATTTTGTAAGGCTGATGCCTTGGAATAAAGAACAACTTATCATAAAAGTGGGGGAAAAAAAACAAGGACAAGAGAGTAAAGAAAACCCCATGGAAAACAGATCCATCTATTTTGAGAATCAATTTTTTCTTAGTGTCTATAGAAGTACGGAATGGTCACGTGGTCCATTTTTACATGTGTTATAATATAAGTGGATATTTATTGATACTATTCTCTAAAGGGGGGAGGGAAAATAAATCTATAGTCCACACATGTTATAATGCATGTACCAGATGTACCACGTAGTCAGTAGTATTTTATAATTTCTCGATCATTTGATCTTACATTGTTTCTATATTGTACATGTACTTATAGTATACTAATTCTTTTTTCTCTCATTTAATTTACCTAATTAGTTTTTAAGAATGAGTACAGATAACCCTATTTAGTTCTGTCGTAGTCCATAAAATTGGTAAAGAGAATATAATAAGCGTTTCCAGACTAAAATAACACCAAAAACAGTTTTTAGGAACAAAGTCAAACCGTCCTTTGTATGATCTGTATAATCATGAGTGCATATTTAATATACATTGCTTTCAAAACCAAAGAAATATGTATATAATAAATTGGAAAAATTGTTAGAGAAAAATAATAAGCAAATATTTCTAGACACGTTATATAAGAGGAGGCAATAAATCCAGACCTACTTCCTTACGCAGGTACCTTAATTACTACCACAAGATCTATAAGCTGGTGTCACGAGGTCGTGGCTCCTAGTATGGCCAATTGCATGAGGAACACGACATCGTGTATGTTATTGGGGGATGGACTTGGGTTTCAAACTTCCACCTATATTTTAAGCCTTGCCATAGAGATTGATGTCCATTAAATTCCTTCTTCTTCTTTTTTAACAGATAAAACGATTCTAAACTACTCTAATGTATGAAGAGAGAGAGATCGAACTTGGTGCAAAGGAGTGCGCACACTGCTTTGATTAATTGACATAACTCACTTGTACAAAGTTGAACGATTGAATCGATCTTGAGTCCCTTTGGATTAATCTGCCTATTGTATATGAATCAACAGATTGATGCCGTTTATATGCACCAATATTGCAAGTTCTAAATTGTGTAATGAATATCGTATCTTAGTGGCTTCCACGCCACACTATATATAAACTATAAAGTCTAGACAAGAGGTCAAGAATGTGTAAAGCAACCATCACATTACCTTATGGTAAGTTTCGAGAAAATTTTCCATCAATGGAAAAGGTTTCAAATTTTGCAATAATGCATGCGACCACACTTTTTCTAAAGTGACGATGAAACAAACTACTTCTCCACAACTTGCATCGATCTCACCTTTTTTCTAACCAGCAAAACCCCAATTTTGACAAAGATGTTTGCACATTTTTTTCCAAATGAATCACAGTTTTCACGGAGGAAGATTTGAAGAGGATGACCTCCCGATTTGCTAGGATCTTGATGACACAGAAAGGGATTTCAAGTGCAAAAATAACTATCAGGAGCAATCTCTCCCATCACCTGTTAACAAGAAACCAAAGAGAGCTTTTATATTTTGTTTGGCTTCCATGTTTTTCTTTTAAAATTGCTCCAACAAAATAAATTTGGTGTTAGAAGTGATATTAAAAGTGACATATGTGGTAAGGCGCTTCAAGTGGTTTAGAGTTTTTATATCTGCACTCGAGAGCCTAAGTTTGATTCCCCTTTTCGTACGAAGAAGAATTTACATGTAACAGGGTTGTCACCGTGACGCTATCTCAAGCCTATCACGCATTGTCATGTCAGAAAGTTGCATTGACATGAAAAATTAAAACACCCATAACTATAAGTGATTAACTCAGAATAGCTCCGCAATTCCCTAGTGTAAGTAAGATTTTTCTTCAAGGTGCAAGAATCATAGCCCTTAAACTAACTCAATAACAAGTTAAAATAAACAGCACTAGATAATTTAACTATAGTTACCAGTGCCAGATACATCATACATGACATCATCTAGCTGCTCTTATTATTTTTTAATCATGTGTATAATACTATAATATATGATATAACTTTCCACTCATCAATTCTCTTTCCCCCCACTTTGATGAAAGAAATAAAACAAGAAATATTTGTATCCTCTTCTTTTATGCAATTGAAAAAGAAAACATCTCCACGAGGGTGACGAAACTTTCTTAAAGAGTGAAAAATCCAAAACATAATCCGTAAAATTATTAAGTTATCCAAGATGATCCGTTTTAGCAGTGAAGACAATTAAAATTGAAATAATTTTATTTTTAACGGTTGAAACGGGTGATCCGTGGGTTGACAAAAAACAACCAGTTATCATAGCTCAGGTGACTCTCGATTCCAATCGTTATCAATCCTATTCAATAAATCCCAACCCAAACTCATAAGTTTTCGTGCAAATTTTATCATATATTTGTTGAACAAGGGTAGAATTATAAATTTTTCAAAGGGTGAGTTAGCTACAATTTTTAGCTTAAAATCTAATGATATTTTTTAACTTACAATTTATATATATATATATATATTTTTTTCCTAAAAATAAAAGTATACATTAAATCATAT